ACCACCACACCCGGCCATTTTGTTTTGTTTTTGTGAGGCAGAGTCTTAACATAGTTCACTCTGGCTTTGAACTCGCTATGTAGACTTGGCTAGCCTCAAACACATGGTGATCTTCCTACCTCTGTCTCCTAAGTGATGTGTTCATTGGAATGCTCCACCATGGCCAACTGACACACTTGAAAAAAATATTGCATAGAATGTTTATGCCTGGCCTGGTGGCACAGGCCTGTAATTTAGGCACTTGGGAGGCTGAGGCAGGAGGATTGTTGCCAGGTAGAGACCAGCCCAGGCTACACATTGAGCTCAAGTCCTGTCTGAACTGCCTGCTGAGACCTGTCTCAAAAAGACCAATAAATTGCAGAGAGTGTTTTCCAGCTTTTTGGAAAAAGGAACTTCTACCTTATCAGTTCATGTGATCACAAAGTTGATGCTTATTTTAAGGACCAAAAGAAAATGTATTTAAAAACTTATAAACAGGAGCGGTGGTGCATGGACTACATTCCACCATCTCTGATGCTATTGCTGGCTGAAAGCTTCCAGCCCAGCCTACGAACTGGTGAGTGTGTGAGACAAAGTATTTGAAATGGAATGAATTTTGTATCTACCTCAGGTAACGGGTTGGCAGAAGCTTCTTCTGAGACCCGCCCAAAATGATAGCTGTAGATGTAATGGTATTCGTTCTCAGCTGAAGCAATATGCTAATTTAGTGAGAACCTTCTTCTAATAAAGAACAAACCATGAGTGGTCACACACCCATGTAATCCCACCACTCTGGGATTCTGAGGCAGGATGATCCCACGTTTGATCTCAGGTTGGGACACGTGACATCTGAGAATTGGTATCAAAATAAAACATGACCAATGGGCTGAGATTTAGCTCAGTGCAAAGGTCCTCGGTCTGAACCCCAGTGCCACTAACCAATAACAAATTAATGCCTTTAAAGTTAGAGGTTATAGGCAGGTATGGTGGACCATGGCTGAAATCCCAGCATTTAGGAGGCTGAGGCAGGCCTTACCATGAGATTTAGGCCGCCATGGCACATGGAGTGTATTCAAGACCAGCCTGAACTATATAGTGAGACCCTTTTTTTTTTTTTTTTGAGACAGGGTCTCATTATGCACTTCAGACTGGCTTTGAACTCACTTCGTAGCCCAGGCTGCTCTCAAACTCGCAACAATTCTCCTGCCTCAGCCTCCCAATTGCTGGGATTACAGGTGTGCACCATGATGTGTGGCTGAGATCTCTTAAATAGATAAAAGAAAAACAAAGTAAAACTTTAGAGCAGAAAAAGCTATTTTTGATGAATGCACATCTATATATTAAAGCAAAATCTAACCTCGCATGTGTTCATCAGAAGCTGCACAAAACGGAACACTGATGGTATCCCGGGCTGCAGGTCACAGGGGAAATTGGCTGGGGGCAGATAGGGGACATGAGCTGGGCAGGGTGGGACTCACCAGGGCTGGAAGAGGTGGCCAGGTGCTCAGCCTCCCAGGAATCCAGGAAGTGACTCCAGGTTCCAGGTTCCTGGCTGGCTCCTCAGTGGCTTTTATTCACTCCTGATCCTGTCTCTCTTTTCAGATAGTGCTTTCAGAGTGTTGATTCCGAGCCTCCACCCAGTTAATCCTGACTGCTTCTCACCTTTCTCCAGATGAATACAGAGATAGGATGAAATTGCCATTTGAGAACTGGGTGTGGTGCTGCACACCAGTAATCCCAGCACTGGGGTGAATCAGGCATAAGGATCATTGTCCGTTCGAGACCAGCCTGGGCTACAAAGTGAGATCAGGGCCAGACCAAAAGAAGTCCCTTTTGGATAGTTACGACTTTTTTTTTAGGGGCTGGGGATTTAGCTCAGCGGCAAAAGCGCCTGCCTGACAAGCGCAAGGTCGTGAGTTCGGTTCCCGGTACCGGAGAAAGGAGAAAAAGACTTTTTTTTTCAGTCTTTGCAGCCAGGTTCTCCCGATGCAATTCAGGCTGGTTTTGAGCTCACTTTGTAGCCAAGACTGCTCTGGGCCTTTGAAGTGCCAGGATTACAGCCATGTGCCACCTCGCTCAGCTGGAAAGTTAAGAGCTAAGAGGGATTTGGAAACCC